AAAACACATTTTCTACCGGATTCGAAGAAAATTATTTGTGACAAAATGTCCCCGAGGAGAAATTTTTTCCATAAAAAAAAACATCTAAAATATAAAGTAGGTAAGTGCCTATTAAATAGTTTGCTCCCTATGGATCTACTTAAAGAAAATCATGAACACAGATAAGGTACAGAGTACAGATATTATCTGTAAATCGAATTAAGATGCCTAATGGCTAATAGTTATGACTAATCGTACCAACAAAAAAAAAACCGAACGGAATATTATTTTGTTTAAAGTAGTTTAATTAAAGAAACCTACCTAATAAGTAATTTGTATCAAATTACAAAATACAAGAAACTGAGAAATACCGTACCTACCTAATAAATATTGTGTGACCAATTAATATTTAACATTGCTTGACTTGGAAATAAATCTATCGGTTTACTATTAATTCGTGTTGTACAAAGAATGTCTCTTTTGGAAATTAGTTAATGAGCATTTATCTACCTAAGATCAGTCATTATTGGGTATAATAGGTACCTATATTAGTATATTATAAAATACCAACTCTCCATTCTCTATACTTGTATACGATGTATACAAATTATTTTAGCTGAATTAATTAGGCACCTATTTATGTGTTATTATAGCTTAACAACTTATAATAAGCATTGATAAATAAAAACTGTTTATATATTACAATAAAACTCTTAATTCCATATAAAAAAAAATATGTTCATTATATAATTTTATTAAATTTTACTCAGATGGCATGCAGTATAATATATAGGTTAGATCTAATTAATCATCACAGTCACGTACGCATTTAATCCGGCCCAATGTTATATATTTTTATACGAGATTTACAAATATATATACAACACTGTAAGTCGAAAACTAACGTTTCGCAATCATAATAATAATATACTCGGAATGTACCTGCCCCTTAAGTGATTTCCATGCACCCAACGGCAAAAACGTAGGATAGTGTGTAATAAAAGTTCAATCGCAACTACCGAAAGATACAATTTAACACATAACAAATTTATTTTTTATTTTAGATTCTGAGTGGAGCGAGGAAGCTATTGGTTTTACAATGGTTTTGTTTATTTATTTATTTGTTTATATCCTGTATACAAAATATCAACCAGAAGGAGTGTTTGGATTTAAACACAAACTACCTTATCTTTTAGCAAATTGGATGAAGATGGTACTTTAGAAAGGTCATTTTTCGATTTTCTCAATATTTATTTAATTGCACAAGAAAAACCACCGACAAATTACGAAAAACCACCGACAAATTACGAAAAACCACTAAAAATGGGATTTTAATTTCTAACGCTTTGTTTATCACCATAGAAACGAATAAAAAATAATAATACCTATTATAATATAAATTCAACTTACATGATATAATAAATAACAACAATATCCAGACTGACAAATCGTCTCCGCTCAGAATCGTTTTTCTTATACAATGATATTATATCATTGAATTCAAGTTAAATACAATTCTTTATATATTACCCCACTTGTAACCTACTGTACAGCCTACTGTACCTACTATCCACTTACCCACTTTTTTTACTTATATTTCGTAAATAAAGCTTTAGCGACAACAATAGGTGTCTAGTCTCCGTAAACTAGAAATAATTATTAATATACTTTATGACCTTATGTTACACGTCCGGGAAGATTAAATTTACAATTTATGTTTTATAGATTTATATTGAATGAAAATATGCTATGCAGGTTGATCCAGTTCAGTTCTCTTTGTCGAGGGCTAAGTGAGGGTCGTCAAAGATTTTTCGGGCTTGGGCATATTCGGAGCAGTTGATCACTAGGCGTAAGCTCTATGAGTATTTCGTTGCAAAATATCACATACTGGTGCTGGGTCTTTGCCGACGAGGTAGGAGTGGGTTAGATGGGAGTGGCCTATTCTTGCTCGAGTGATTATTAGGTACTTCCTCTATTCTCTGCAAGGGGAGGGGGGCATTTCAATTGTTTTATGTTTTTTATAAATTTCCGAGTTCGTTGTTTGAGCGAAGCAAATTTAGCCAGTACTTCTGCCATTCTCTTATTAAATTGTATTGGATCGTATTGGAAGTTTCAAATGAAATTGTTTTTATTCGTTTTCATAAAATCATTTTATAGGTTTATATACCTACAATAGGCAGGTATTCTAAGCAGGGATTATGTGGAAGGACAGAGAGCACAATAAATATGCCATACACAATACTTCGTACGGCCATGCGAATCGGGTTACCAGCACATTATTATTTCGGCTTAATTTTTAATACGCTTTCGATATCCGATGAATCTCCTAGCGCGGAGACGTCAACTGCAGCACATAGTGCATTAGGTACAAGTGTATAACTGCAGATACCTATATGAGTAATAATACCTACTATATAGTATATATATAATATATATATACTTTGAGTACACTCAATCTTAAAACGAGTACAAACTAGAAACACTATACAGCCGCACGACTATATTATGTACACATAGGCTTACTTACACGGTAACACATAAAATGAAATTGTATTCTCAAATGCATTACATCTCTGAACTTCTCTATTTCTCGTATATAGGTAGTTATTGTATCATAGCATTGATTAAATATATAATATATTTAATCAATGATCATAGGTAGGTATCGAATGAGCTGGTGGTCACCGCCTCCGTACCAAGTGAGGCGATGTACTCTGTATAAAGATAGGTACCTATATTGCTAGCTAAAGGATGACAGGCTGCAGGCTGCAGGTATATAGGCACTGTGTAGGAAGCAAATGTAAATATATATTTCGCAGTAGGTGCACACACGCTACACGCATAATAATATATTATATATTCGTATATTATTTTGCATTGGACAAGTCTACAAACTA